TTCACCTTTGTAGCTTTGTAACTTTCTAAGATAAAAATTTATTTGTGTATAAGCACATTTCGTGCAGTGGTCCCTTGTAACTAAAAAAATTCTATTTTTTTCTCTAATTGTTTTTAATTGGGTTTTAAGTGTTTTTCCAAGTCCCTGGGGTCTAATCAGTGGGGAAAGTCCAAAACATGGGCCAAATCGGTTTATTTCGCAAAGTTAGGTATAGGGCGTTTTCAGTCTATATGGCCTATAAGAGCAGAATATCGGCAACTTTTCCTGAGCTAACTTTTTTCCTATGGGAGATTTCTCAGTTCGGTTTTTTTCTAAATGTATATATGGCCCACGTGGAAATGTGTGCCAAATTTCAGCTTTGTAGCTTTGTAACTTTCTAAGACAAAAATTTATTTGTGTATAAGCACATTTCGTGCAGTGGTCCCTTGTAACTAAAAAAATTCTATTTTTTTCTCTAATTGTTTTTAATTGGGTTTTAAGTGTTTTTCCAAGTCCCTGGGGTCTAATCAGTTGGGAAAGTCCAAAACATGGGCCAAATCGGTTTATTTCGCAAAGTTAGGTATAGGGCGTTTTCAGTCTATATGGCCTATAAGAGCAGAATATCGGCAACTTTTCCTGAGCTAACTTTTTTCCTATGGGAGATTTCTCAGTTCGGTTTTTTTCTAAATGTCTAGATGGCCCACGTGCAAATGTGTGCCAAATTTCAGCTTTGTAGCTATGTAACTTTCTAAGATAAAAATTTATTTGTGTATAAGCACATTTCGTGCAGTGGTCCCTTGTAACTAAAAAAAATCTATTTTTTTCTCTAATTGTTTTTAATTGGGTTTTAAGTGTTTTTCCAAGTCCCTGGGGTCTAATCAGTGGGGAAAGTCCAAAACATGGGCCAAATCGGTTTATTTCGCAAAGTTAGGTATGGGGCGTTTTCAGTCTATATGGCCTATAAGAGCAGAATATCGGCAACTTTTCCTGAGCTAACTTTTTTCCTATGGGAGATTTCTCAGTTCGGTTTTTTTCTAAATGTCTAGATGGCCCACGTGGAAATGTGTGCCAAATTTCAGCTTTGTAGCTTTGTAACTTTCTAAGATAAAAATTTATTTGTGTATAAGCACATTTCGTGCAGTGGTCCCTTGTAACTAAAAAAATTCTATTTTTTTCTCTAATTGTTTTTAATTGGGTTTTAAGTGTTTTTCCAAGTCCCTGGGGTCTAATCAGTGGGGAAAGTCCAAAACATGGGCCAAATCGGTTTATTTCGCAAAGTTAGGTAAAGGGCGTTTTCAGTCTATATGGCCTATAAGAGCAGAATATCGGCAACTTTTCCTGAGCTAACTTTTTTCCTATGGGAGATTTCTCAGTTCGGTTTTTTTCTAAATGTCTAGATGGCCCACGTGGAAATGTGTGCCAAATTTTAGCTTTGTAGCTTTGTAACTTTCTAAGATAAAAATTTATTTGTGTATAAGCACATTTCGTGCAGTGGTCCATTGTAACTAAAAAAATCTATTTTTTTCTCTAATTGTTTTTAGTTGAATTTTAAGTGTTTTTCCAAGTCCCTTGGGTCTAATCTGTAGGAAAAGTCCAAAACATGGGCCAAATCGGTTTATTTCGCAAAGTTAGGTATAGGGCGTTTTCAGTCTATATGGCCTATGAGAGCAGAATTTCGGCAACTTTTCCTGAGCTAACATTTTTCCAGTTCGTTTTTTTTCTAAATGTCTAGATGGCCCACGTGGAAAAGTGTGCCAAATTTCAGCTTTGTAGCTTTGTAACTTTCTAAGATAAGAATTTATTTGTGTATAAGCACATACCGTACAGTGGTCCCTTGTAACTAAAAAAATTTTATTTTTTTCTCTAATTGTTTTTAATTGGGTTTTAAGTGTTTTCAGTCTATATGGCCTACAGGAGCAGAATATCGTCAACTTTTCCTGAGCTAACTTTTTTCTATGGGAGATTTCTCATTTCGTTTTTTTTCTAAATGTCTAAATGGCCCACGTGGAAATGTATGCCAAATTACAGCTTTGTAGCTTTGTAACTTTCTAAGATAAAAATTTATTTGTGTATAAGCACATTTCGTGCAGTGGTCCCTTGTAACTAAAAAAAATTCTATGTTTTTGTCCAATTGTTTTAATTGGGTTTTAAGTGTTTTTCCAAGTCCCTGGGGCCTAATCAGTAGGAAAAGTCCAAAACATGGGCCAAATCGGTTTATTTCGCAAAGTTAGGTATAGGGCGTTTTCAGTCTATATGGCCTATAAGAGAAGACTATCGGCAACTTTTCCTGAGCTTTTTTCCTATGGGAGATTTCTTAGTTCGGTTTTTTTCTAAATGTCTAGATGGCCCACGTGGAAATGTGTGCCAAATTTCAGCTTTGTAGCTTTGTAACTTTCTAAGATAAAAAATTATTTGTGTATAAGCACATTTCGTGCAGTGGTCCATTGTAACTAAAAAATTTCTATTTCTTTCTCTAATTGTTTTTAATTGGGTTTTAAGTGTTTTTCCAAGTCCATGGGGTCTAATTAGTAGGAAAAGTCCAAAACGTGGGCCAAATCGGTTTATTTCGCAAAGTTAGGTATAGCGCGTTTTCAGTCTATATGGCCTATAAGAGCAGAATATCGGCAACTTTTCCTGGGCTAACTTTTTTCTTATGGGAGATTTCTCATTTCGTTTTTTTTCTAAATGTCTAAAATGTGTGCAAAATTTCAGCTTTGTAGCTTTTTAACTTTCTAAGATAAAAATTTATTTGTGTATAAGCACATTTCGTGCAGTGGTCCCTTGTAACTAAAAAATTTCTATTTTTTTCTCTAATTGTTTTTAGTTGGGTTTTAAGTGTTTTTCCAAGTCCCTGGGGTCTAATCAGTAGGAAAAGTCCAAAACATGGGCCAAATCGGTTTCTTTCGCAAAGTTAGGTATAGGGCGTTTTCAGTCTATATGGCCTATAAGAGCAGAATATCAGCAACTTTTCCTGGGCTAACTTTAATTTTAACACTGAATTTTAAGAGTTTCAATTTGACTAATTTACAAATACAGAATATGTATGCAAGCTGTGGAATATATTTTCTTTAACTAATTGTTTGCATGCTTCTGGTGAGGAATAAAGAAGCATCAGCTTGCGGGCTTAAGTGTTTTATGGTCCTATTAAAGAAATAAAAAAATACACCCAACCCACCCCCCCCCCCCCTTGATTTCGGAAATTTTAAAGACGATCTCCAATTTTTTATTTATGTGGCCCTATGGAACGATTTACCATCAGAAATGCGATTTTCAAAATCTATCGACATCTTCAAGAAAAAACATAAAACAAATTCTTGTTTAATGATTCTTGAGTATGTAGTTAATGTTTTATTTAAGTGACATATGTACATTGATATATAACAGTGATTATCTGGCATGTAAAGTACACCCAGCTCAATGGACCTATAATTCACTATAATAATACACATGATTTGTATAACAACTAGAACGGGAATTTAATTTACAGTAGGTGAGCATTTACAATCGGCTGATAGTTTCAAATACATAAAATACCTTCAATTGTATAATGTTTGACGACGTTCACAAGGTAATTGGCTAGTTGGCGAGGGTAATTGTTGATAATGTCAAACATTATTTCAGAGATAGGTCTTTCGGAATCTTTATCTAATATGTCCCCAAACCAACGGGAGCGGTGATTTTCATACCTTTCACATTTCAAGAGAAAATGAGTTTCATCTTCGATCTCACCGTTACCGCAGATTTGACACAGTCCGGTTTCCAATTTCTCACCAACAAACGTCCAGTTTCGATTCGAAGAGGTAGGACACCGCATCTGAACTGATGCTGATGTAGAACGTTAATTATGGGTTCGTATTTCAAAATAGCGTATGGAATGGACTCAATCCCCACTTCTGATTTATTCTTGCTACATGAAACCACATTCCTGATGTATGACTTCATTCACAGAAATTTATTGATCGAGGGCGCGATAGGAACTGAAAAGTAATTTGCGCCATATAAGTGAACGATTATTATTATTATTATTATATTGTATATAATATAACGAGAATAACAAAACGTACGTAATGAGTAATATTTTAAAATGCGTGACAGATACTTCACTGAAAAGTTCTGATTCGAATTCTTTGAATCTCGGACTACACTCATACTATCCTATTAATAAAGTATTTTGAAACAATTGCTGCCATAGAGTTACCTCCCTTGCCCGAACAAACTAAGTGGTACGCCTTGGTTGCGCTTCTTTTCAATCGATTCGATTGAAATTCTACAATATGTTAAATATATATTGGATCATTTGTTAGTTGTAATGAAACTATTCAATAAGGGTTTTATTTATTTCCCACGCAAAATTTACCTCTTAAAATAGTCCTTTGAATGTTTCATGACTATTTTCCACGCCTTTTCCGTGTCCAGTTCTGGATTGTCTTAGATAAATTTCATATTTGTAATGTTTGTTACTGATATATTAGGTTCGGAAGTTGTGGGTCCACTGGCATATATGCGTAACTGAGGGTTTCACACCGCTTGTGCAACGATAAAGATCCTTCGATAATATGAAAGCTCCGTTCAGTCGGCGTTATTGGGATATAGTAACCATCTGATAAGCCTTAGCTGACTGACAAATGAAGGTTTTATCTATTTACGCATATTGGACGTATCTATACACAATTGTCATAATAAATTGGATTTTTGTCATAAATTTTCAAAGGATGCTTTCCTTTTGTATGGATATTGACAATTAACGCGTTAGATAGTTTTGGGCTCAGGTTGGCTGGCTATTTGGTGCATGTGACCGAGGCAAAAAAATAATAAACGGGGCTAAATATCACATTGTCTAAACCGTTGAATAATTGAATCATATTTTATTTTGCTTACCTTGATTAGTTTGACTATTCGTAATATTTCGCTAAAAGGGTGGTATCCTTTAATATATATTGATTTCGACAAAACCATGTTGAAATACAATGCGAGACCCAAATCATATGTGAATCACAACATAGCGAGCTCGATCCAACAGAATGGGTTTCAAATGGCACATCTTTCTCTTGATGGTGATTTGCTACTGCCAGATCGCAGGTAAGAATCTGTCATTGCAACTCGTCGGGTATAGCAATTTAAATTGTTTTCTATCAATTCACAATTTAACTCCACTATGCATAGCTATCGAACAGGCACAATCTGGTTAGGTCCAATGACTATGTATTTCGAAATTTTCTTATGACTCATTATCTTATTTTTGTATCTTCAGAATGGGGCTACGAAAATAACGGTAAGTACATTTTTAAATTAAATTGTGTTCCTTGTTTAGCTGATTTGTACTCATTCCCAAACACCTGATGTCGCTCTGTGATTCACATTCTGTACATCCTATGTAATGCGTTAACTTAAAGGCTAAAACTGTATTCCTTTTCCTGTTCGTTTCGTTCAGTGAGTCCACATAAATAAAGTGTCATCATTATATTTACAGGTGCCTATAAGTGGCCTATAATGTATCCAACATGTGGCGACAATCTACAGTCTCCAGTCAACATCAATATATTTCTAGCACCAACATCCCCGAGACTGGGTCGTCTTCGATTTACTGGTTACAATACACCGGCATGGTTAACTGTAAAGAATGATGGGCATACAGGTAGGTTCACTGGCGGTAGTGGCAGTGTGGCAGTGAATTGGAAACTCCCATGGATAGACTAGGGCTTAATTTGATGCATTCTGATAAATATATTTGAACGGAAGTATAAATTCATCATGCAAGTTTCGTAGAAAATAAGTGGGGGTACCACTTGAACCCGTACTGACGCCGCCACTGATAAGGGCGTAGATTTAGAGTTGGGGCTGGAGATCATTCGAAAAAGTCTTCCATCTCGAATTTGATATTTTAGCCAATGTGTCATCGCTTTGGACCCTAAAAGTTGGAAAACAAACCATAAGAAGAAACCATAAGAGTCTGTGCCTTCATTCTCGAATTTTATGGTAATTCAGCGTTTTAACGCTGTGGTTTCTGAGATATGGGAAGCAACAAGCCAAAAAAGCAGCGAAATTTAGCTTTCCTCTTTGTTTTCACATTATGTCATTCAATTCATCTTTTGCCTTTATTTTGAAACACGGATCTTACCACTTAAGAACTCTTGGTAGCTCACAGAGAATGGCGGATCATTTTAAGGTGGATAATTTGGGCTCTTACACTAATAATGAAAGTAGACGTTTCAACTTAGTCATAACTTTGGACATTTTTAAAGCAATTTCACCATCAGCCAAGATTAACAAAACTCCAATTAGCTTCACAATTCGCATGTTTTTCATATTGCAGCTCTGGTGGAAGTGAAGAGCAATGCCTATATAGAAGGCGGTGGGTTGCATGGCCGATACAAACTGACTCAGTTTCATTTTCATTGGGGATCGGATAATACCCGCGGGTCTGAGCATACCATAAATGGAGTCCCGGCACGTATGGAGGTAGGCATCTTCAAATAAGTAATTAGTTGGAAGAACGAATCATATTTTACATACCCCAAACCAACAAAGAAAGGAACAATACGCCAGCAGTCACAACTTTCATCACTTGGTAATTTTGTTAATAATAGCTGGGACATATTACACATTCGCTTTTCAGGAGTAACGAGTCCAAGTAGATATTCCAATAGTTGTTGGAAAAAGTGTTGCCAGCTGCGAATATTCCTTAGCTCAGTAGCCTATAAAAGTAGGACGTAAAACTCCATTTCATTTTCAGGTTCATTTGGTACATTATAAAGAATCATTGGGAAGTTTCCAGAGTGCTCAAAATTTTCCAGGTGGTTTGACAGTTCTTGGCATCTTATATAGTGTAAGTACCAGACTTTCACAAGTAGACTGAGATTTAAAACCACGACCACCATTTGTTCGTTGTAACCTACCAAAAGGAAAAAAGGTCATTTACGGCTGTTTACTACACTCGTGAATCTACTGAATCGTGTTTGCAAATTCTTATGTTATCCAATCATAAATATTGATATAAGTGGGTGTCAAAACAAGGCAGTATAGACGATAAATCGCTTGGTCCGAGCATGGAATTGGTTGAATGGTTCAACGTGTTGCATTACTATTCGGCCAAAGAAAAATACAATCTGGATCTACATGTGTAATGTTCCAATGTATTTCATGTTATTTGTTATAGGGCAGTATGACTAATAATGGAGCCTATAACGACCTGGTCAACAAATTATCTCTTGTTCTCCCACCAGGTAAACACAATCTGATTACCGGTCCTGGGGGGTGGGGGAGGTGTAATCGTCATTTCGCCCCAATGTCCCAATTAAGCTTATGTCATTTCGTTCCAAATGTATCATTCTAGACATCACGACATTTCACACTTACATACCATTCATAACATTACATAATATTAAAGGCCCTAAAAATGAAAGATAGCTTGCCATGCAAGGTAACATACGCATACTACCAGTTGTCATAAACGATAACAAAATCTTTACTGACTTATGAATATATATATAAATCAATGCAAAACCTCAAAAACAGTAATGATCAAATTCAAACAAACAATTCTAACAAGGTTTCATCGACATACACACACAACGGCAATGACTCTAAAACCGTTCATTTGATTATTACCAATTTCGAACTTGACTGACACCTCAATGTATATATGCATACAAAATTTAATTAAGATCAGATTAAAACTGTAATCTCTTTTGTAGCTACAAGCCAAACATGCATACCAAGATTCATCGAGATCGAATAAAAACTGTAGCCTCTATTGTAAATATTTGATTGTTCCCAATTTCATACTTAACTGAGACCTCATCAATATCTGTATGCATACGAACTTCCTTCAAGATCAGATTAAAATGTAGTTTTTATCGTGTCTACAAGCCAAATTACTAAATCAAGGGCAAGAACTGCAAACCGTTCATCCGATTGTTATTAATTTCGACCTTGACTGAGATCTCATTGATATATACATGCATACCAAGTTTCATCAAAATTGTTTTCAAAACTGTAGCCTCTATTGTAGCTACATGCCAAATTTGACGCGTTTTACTAAGTCAAGGGCAATAACCCTCAAAGCTTTCATCCGATTATTACCAAATTCGAAATTGACCTTTATATCATCAATATATACTTAAATACTAAGTTTTATTAAGAAATACAGTGCAGACGGCAATACACCCCCCCCCCCCCCCACCAGGCCTACGCCACTGATGCCATTTCTGACATCATAAAGGCACATTCTACGCCATTAAAGGTCCTAAGTTGTGAAAATAGTAGCCTAAATCTTCACTTCATTTCTACAAACATAATATGATAGAGAATGGCTTGTTTTACAGGATCAACACCAGTTGCCTTGCAGCCTCAAGCGTTATTGAGTCTTTTCCCACCATTAGTTGGTAACTACTTCCGGTATACCGGTAGCTTAACAACGCCACCATGTTCCCAATCTGTTATCTGGACAGTATTTCAGAAAACAATACCCATAGCTAATCGACAGGTAGGCCCTTAACATTTGAGGTTTTTAATATCCATTGCCATGTAGGAATGTAAGAAACATTGGCTGTGTCCAAGGCAGTTCCCGAGTGTTGGAGAAGATTCCAGCCTATGACACCAATTGTCATAGGTTGGACATAAAATGTATCTTTCAATTCAATACACTGTGAAATTTCGCGAACCTCATAATGGTTTTACGTCAAATACCACTACACAATGCTCAAATTTAGTAATTTTCGTCATTTTGTCCCAATTATTTACAGTTTAGGCGGATTTCCGACATAGCTATATCTATCGTTAGAATTTGCTTCCGAGATTGAAGTTTTAATGACCAGAATCTTCTTACGGCAATAGCCTACTAATTTTATCAAACGAGGGAAAACGATATTTGTCGAGCCTTAATATTTCAAGTTTTTGATAATAACTCAATTGTTTTATATTCAGTTACAGAGTTTCAGACAACTGTTTTCTTCGGAGAAAAATGTAATGTTTCCTGTTCGTTTACAGAACAATTACAGACCAACTCAACCCCTGAATCGCAGAATTGTGGAATCTAGCTCCTTTTTAGTCTTTTAGACATTTGTCAGATATCCTTGGCATCATATTTTCCAATAAAGATAGCTTTTGATCCATTACAAGCACTTTTTTAAAATACTTTATCTTTACACTTTCTTAAAATAATGTGCAATACTCATGACTCGCAAGCATGGTGGTGTTATCATCCTACTGTAGTATTGTTTTTGGAAAAAATAATATAGTTATCGACCTTAGTCCAAGTCAGGATCTGAGATATTGGTACTTGAGTCAAGTGTTATCCTTGGTCTTTTCACAGACAATTGTGGTCTTCGTCCTGGCCCTTTTTAATTACCTAGATGCCCAGAAATCACTATAACATCTTCGTTCCATCTTGAGAAGGAAGATATTCATCCATACACATGTCCAACAAGTGGTAGTTGTTGGTTTTAATCTCGGTTGACGTCTGAGGGTCTGGTAAAAGTAATTTCTTCAATATTTCTGTCGACCCAAGCCTAATTGGGTACTGATATATATCAAGACATTTGGCGAAACGGATACTATCCCTGTAAAAATTTAGATGACACCCCACCCACGTCATTTCAGCCTCTAAATCTCACATCAATATTGCACCCTATTGATTTTCTAACAAATTTCGAAATATGATTTTTATACGTTTTTTCTACAAAATATGTGTCAGAATGAAGCAAATCAATCATATTTCCAAAAATGTCTTAATAGAGAACCCTCTAAGACGCTATATCGAAGGCTTGCGACTATGGTGTCTCGTAGGAATTCTAAATCTCGGCCTGACAGTTTGTCCACCTATAAAACAGCCTATCCCACTTTTTCACTCCAATCTCGGGAGACTTGAGCCGGAACTGAATCCAATGACATCTCACCCCTGCTATGTCAGCTTCTTAATCCAATATCATTATTGTAATCACGATAGGATGGGAAAGGGATGTAAGCAGCTGTAGAGAGTTTGTAACAAGATAATATCGGGTTATATAAATGTTGTTTTCTATAGTCTATCTATTGTTATGTCATCAGATAACAGCTTAGCATTGAACTCAATATATACTATAAAATATGGAAGATTCGCATTTTCCAAATAGAAGAAATACACAATATTATGTTTCCCTATCAAATTGTCAATGCACACTGAAGCAAAATTAAGACGAAAAAAAGTAGTATTACGTCTTACTTGTATGTAGAAAACAGACCCTGGGGGAATTTTGTCAGAATTCTTCTCCGTTGCCTAAAAAAATTAAATTAAGACGTGAAACTCGTATAAGCCTCCATGAACTGAAATGTTTTCCGTCTACTTTTCTGCATCTGATTGAGCTAATAAAGACAGGAAACGCCAGGCAGTATGAAATGAGCCAGTCTCTTATGTGTTTTTTTCGATTTCCTGGCGAAAAAATGTCGAAATTAATGTATAAGCTTACAGAGATTGATATGGCTTTTCAAATCTTAATTTTCGACTTAACAGAAAGGTTAGTAAGCATGCTGATGGAAAATGGACAGCTTTAGATGTTTTTGAAGGAAGCTCTGGGGTGGATACAATCAGTATTTGTAACTGTGAATTTAAAAGAATCGCTAGATATACTTGTCAGCTGAATTAACACGCCTTTTGTCAGAAAACAATCACTTACATGGATTCGGTTTCCTTTTTCATAAAATTTCTTCAACGGAGATGTCATGGAAAAGGAGCAACCATCAACCTAATACCAGTAGTACCAAAGCTCTGTATAATATCCTTGTTCAATTACATATATCTCTTTATATTTTCCTCGCCCACGACATTTACCATTTTAAAGTGGCAATGTGCACCATTTTTTTTTAAACACAGCTGAAACACACAGACATTTTAAAGGCATGGTTCGCTATTTTCGGTCGTGAAAATACTCTTCAGAAGTACCGGAACTGTACGAAAATCGTATAATTATCAATTTTTGATTAAAACTCAACTAGAAATTTCACTGTCTATTTCTATATAGATATTCAGACCACACAGGCATTTAAAGGCTCCAAGGCTTCGACTATTAGCTGTAAACGCTAATACTAACTAGCTTTGCTAAAAAAAAATCCCCATTTCTGGAACTAAAGTTAGATTGGTCAAAAAGGATGGCAAATCCATCCCTTTAAGTTTACACAAACATAATTTCATTTACTTTTTTATTTTGATCTTTATTTTTAATATTCAGAGTTAAAATTATAATAACTGAACCGCAACAAGTGAGCGTGACACTACATTCGTATAATGGTTTTAGGCGTATCGTAATAACTTGTTCAATACTATGAAATTTCTAATTCAGTTAGGGCTATACAGACCTAATGGAACAGGGAACAACAGGCAGTGTGTAATGGGAGAAGAGTTACATTGGCCAACTCTTTTTCGATTCCTAATTGTCAAGGGATCTTTAACGTGCACAGTATGGAGCAAAGAAAGGGCGTCGGTTTATTCATTGTGTGTTATAGCAAGTTTTTCGGGCAAAAATCTTATAACTATTTTAAATATTCGGGAAATCTCAGATATCTCGCCCCCTCCTCCCTTGCCCTCTCGCGAACGTAAACCTGACTCCGCCACTGCTTACTACTACACTAAACAGGCATCACTTTACCCTTTGTTACATTTTGTTCCTTATCATTCTAAAACTTTAAAGAATAATGACGTATTTGCTTTGAATGAAATAAAACCATTTCCTTTTGTCTTAAAGACGCCACATGTATGGAAAAATAGATTTAAAGCGAGGTCAATATTAGCGCGCGACTCCTTTATACGGCCATTGAAATTAGTGTCGTCTGCTAAAGTCGCGCGTGCTCATTTTTCTCGGTTGCGCGTGGCCGACTTGCAGGATTGTATTTCTGAGGTTGGGAAGTGACGACGACTCTACGCTATATTGTTGTTTATTTAACGGTGTTTCTAAGACTTATCTACACGTGTGGAGGTTAACAAAGAAAAACTGAATTGGCTGCGACTGAGAAAATCGCTAGGACGTGGTGCCTTTTTGGATTACAAACGGCGTAATTTAAATATAAGTCTGTACAATCATTATTGAGTTTATATTATGTTGTTTTTAGATTGATATATGTGTGAAATACTTAAAGTATGGATATAATTGAATATATTGGTAACCAAACTATGTAAACAATGCACTTTCCGTTATTGTTGGGACAAACAAAAACTGTAACGCAATCCGAAAATATGTGATATTGTTAATGCGTACACTAATGATAATGTTTATTGCTATAGTACACTAGTTAGATATTAAGAGGTCATCGCAATCTACTCAAAAAGACTTCAGAAAAGCAACTGGCATCGGTCTGAAAGTGTAAAAAAACGTCTTGGGGTAGAATCTTATATTCAATAGTTCTGTGAAAGGCATCGTCCTGGAAGAACAAGAATTGAGATAGAATTTAGCCGTGACAAAGTGGAATTCAATTGTGAATGGAATTGTTTTGAATAGGCATCGTCCTAAAAGTGTAAAAATACGTTCTGTTTAAGTGGAACCATGCCTACCCTTGAAAGGCCAAAAACCTCTCGGTGTGGAATCCAGCTATGAATGGAACCATAACTGGAAGTGCCATGATTTTTGAAAAGGCTGATAATATCATTGTAAATTCCTGGAACTAGCTGGATTATGGAAATTACCAGCTTTATGGTCGGAAATTGGAAGATTCTATAACGTTATGTAAATATACGTGTAAAGCATTCGATATGTACTATAACAATATTCCAGCTAGATATATGACACTATGTATATTATTGTTGGGATTATTCAACCACATAGCATGTGACGGTAAGTCAGTTACATATCGATTGAGTGAAAGAGTGAATGAATGAATGAATGAAAGGTAGAATTAGTGAATAAATGAATAGATATATGAACATATGAATGAATGGATGAATGAGTAAAAGAATTACAGAAAATAATTGAATGATTGGAGATGAAAGTCAAAACCTTAATGAATGAAAGGATGAATTTGAATGAATTAAAGAAAATGAAAGTGAAATATTTGAAAAATAGGTTAAAGAATGAAAACATAAACATATATAAACATATCAACAAACAAAACATAGGAAACAGGTAGTATATACGAAAAACCCGTTTCACTATCAGTTTCACTTATAAATAAAATATCTTTTTTTGTCAAAAAGTAAACAACTATGCATGAATACACAACCGGGTTTTATTATAGCTAGTACATCCAACACATTCTTGAAATTTCATATATTTTAGTAGTGACATACAAACTCATTGGGTCGAATGATGTCCGACATTTGTAGCATTTCAAAATGTCAAACAATTGACATCCGGTGCTCCATTATTCTTATTTCTACATATGGCACTTGCAACCATTGAAAATGTCAGATATTTCATTTCATTGCCATGTATCATACAGCACTTCCTGTCAAGCATTCTTCCTCTATCTTGCTTAAATGTCAGCACTTCCTGTAGAAGATTATTTGTTAGAGGTCGCTCTGACATTGCTGTGTGTGTAACTGACAGAACGTTTTTTTTTCTTGTCAATGTGAATTTGACATCTTGCGTGAATTCTTTTGTGTTCCTTAATCGTGTAAGCAGACTTGAATCAGACTTGATTCAAACGTCAGAATTATATTTTCCTGGGTGGATATATAAAGTCTTTAGATATATATTATGTATATAGGTAACACTTAATAGCACCCTGCGACATGGTTTATCAACTCCCCGTCACCTTAGAAAGTCTACATAACTATTGTTTTTTATTACAGTCAACTCTGCATATTATTTAAGTCGTGTTCACACTGCACTTTAAAGCCGTAGAGTGAATCTGAAACCGCTTTGAACCGATCATAAAACCACTTTAACGAAACCCTTTTCAAACCGATTGCAACCCCTCTTTAACGGAAGTGGGTTATCCATCGCGCTTATCGACAGCGAGTGTGACCGGCTTATTGCGCTATAAACACAACGCACATTTCAGGCATGCGCAATTGCCATATTTACACACCCCCTTCCGTTCTGCGGCATGGAGAAAACTTGCTATTGATTCGCGTGTATTTTGTTCGTGTT